GTTTTTTATGTGAGACCCATTTACTTCAGCTTTACTGTCTCGAATACAGATTTAAACTGGGGGGAAGTGAAGGAAAGTAAAAAAATTCAGACCTAAAAAACAAGCAGCTATACACAGAGAAGGAATATGGCAGGTGGTTAAAGAAAAAATTTATGCATCATGATGTGGATGTGACTCTCTCAGTTTCTAAAGAATTACAAGGTCTATGTCCCATTGAACCAGACTCAGTCTGGATTTAGGTGAAAGCCCTGCAGTTATTTGACTCTGTTGTGTTCAGAGCCTATCATTTCAGTGCACAGAAATCTATTGAGTGTATTAAGAGGTAAATCAGTTGGTCCAAAGTACAGTGCTGCCACTTACTCTTAATATCACCTTGGGTTGGACTCACATTTATGTCCCTAATTCCCCCTGCCTTCCCTTCTCCTTGGAAAGATAAACATGTGAACAACAACGAAGTATCTGACTACTAATCGAAAGCAATATAGTGCTGCACAGATCAGCTTCATGGTGGAATAAAGAAAAAGTGAGTGTGGATCTAAGTACCTTCTCTTCATATCATAGGCTGTATGTTGTTTTCAGGAGCATTTCTGTCAGGCAGTGATGAAAGGCTGAGAACAAAGTGAACAAAATTTCCTTTTACTGCTTAAAAATCCTCAGCTGGTTCGCTGTAGCAAAACGCTGTCTCTTTAAACAAATAGCATGGTTAAAAATGCCACCTTATAATTCAACAACCAACTCCAAAGATGACAATTTAATCAATCAGAACCAATGCTCCTGAAAAAGAGGGGGGGGAGGAGGGAAGAAAAGGAAAAAAATCTTAAGGCTTTCATGCAGTGCGAGTGGTTGAAACTATAAAAAGGTTCAATCACTGTAGAACAAGCCTGGAGCATCAATGTTTATTAAAGTCAGGGGAGCCATTTATTGACCTGGGAAACAGCAAAGCACCAGCAGCACTGCTGGATTGCATTTTTACAGTTACCAAATGGAAGGCGGTATTTTCCTTTTCTCTTTTAATTGTGATTCCATCAAATCCAAAAAGTTGAAAGCCTCCTGATTTTGTAAAGGAAAGCAAAGAGGAGGACGCTCCACTGTGTTCTTCAGTCATTCTCTCTGTTCTGACTCCTGGCGTGGGGATACATCAAATCATTTCAAATCAAGATCAAATTTTTAAGCTCCAATTTTTTATCTTACCCACATGCCAGCAGAATGACAGACTGGTGTGTGTTCCCACCACCACTTCAGGTCATGGCAGAAGATGGGGACCTACCATTGTGAAGCTGGTGGCTTCTGTAATCAAAAAGGAACTACTGTATTTATTCACACAAAGGTCACCCTGCCACGGGGACAGCCAAAAGCGCTCAGAATGAATTGTCTTCTCCTAACCCGACAACAGCCGTTTCTCCAAAGACACATCTTGGTTGTTCTCGGAGATTTTGTAACTCTGTTTTGCCCCAAACACATTTTTAAGACACGCCTTTCCACGCTGCATAGATTGTGAACCACCTAAGGCTATTAAAAGAAAGCATCAGCAATAGGGGTTGTGTTTACAGGTCCATTTCACCCAAATAATGGGAGCTTCGTCCTTTCCATATCGTCCCCGCCCACAGGAAGACTTGGGGTCCACCGAGGAACACAGGGCAGGGATTTATTTAAAACACCGTGTGCGTGTCAGCTGCCACCTAACCCGGTGTCAATGCCAGAAAAGAGGACTTCAAAAGCTGAGAGGATGAGTCAGTGCAGGCTGCACTGAGAGCTGTCTGCCAACCCGTGTCCTCCGTGGATCAGGTACAAAGCGGGATGAGCAGCGCGGGGCCAGCGGGTCACACATCCCGCATCAAAGGGTGAGGAATATTGTAACAAATCCCCAGCCAGCGGGACCTGAGCTCTGGTACACACACCACATGCATCAGCAGCTCAGAGCTTGGAGGGAGCAGGAGAGAGGAAAAAAAGAGTCCTCCACTTCAAAACGGTGCCTGTCTACCACTTGGAGAATTTCACACCGTCTCTGTAGGGAGCACAGGGTACAAAACCGCTGCTCTGATCCCACCCAGTCGTACTCAGCGCTTCACATCTTCCCTTCAGGTTTGCAAACAGACCTCCGGCAGCTCTACTTCTCATTTTCTTTCCCTCATTCATAGAGAAAAACACATAATATCCTTACTTAGAACACAGTGGAGGAGTTTGACACAAATTAATGACTCACCTGTCATACTATAGGAATTTTTATATTTGCGGGGAGGGAGGGAAGGCTTTGGGTATTCTGAGAGCTGTAAAAAGCTGCCTCAGAATTCAAAGACAGCTTATAAAAAATCAAATCAACTGATGGCTTGGTGTAAGGTTTGAGATACCCATTTTCCACTAAAATCACAATACTAAGAATATGAATATATAAAATTCATTTTTTTTTCAGAAAAAGTAAGACACGAGTTCCCTCAAATTAGATCCCATTGGCATGAAATTAGTTCACAGTTGTAACTTTTGTTGCTCTAAGAGAGATTATGCCTTAAATAATATTAATGACAACTTTAATTTGACTTCTCTAATAACTACAGGGAGAAGGGACCACACTTCCTAGGAAGAAAAATCTTTTATCTGCTTGTTTAATGAACAACCTTTCATGAGATGGATCTCCTTTCCCCCGAGTTATTTCCCTGAGTATTTTTGTTTTGATAAAGAAATGGATTTCCAGGTTGAAAGTGGAGCTGCTGTGCAAAAGTCAGAGCTGTGAGAGAGGTGTCTAATTGCCATTTACAGTGACCCTCAATTCTTCTCTAAACACAGCATCTCTCCTACCTCTCCTGCCTCACAAGCAGGAGTATTTACAGGGCTGGATTCTTTTCTGAATTGCCTCCACCACCACCAGTAAATCATAAGAATTTCTCCTATAATCAATGGAGTGTCTTCAGATTTACCAGACAGTATAATCTGGTCCACGAGACAGCTGATTGTTATCTATAACCTCCCCAGCCAATTCAAGTGATGGGAGACGCAATCCAAAAATTTCCTTTGGACTTTTTTACTGCCAAAATAGATCAAATTCCGTGGCAGCCTTTTTACAACCTCCACTTTTCTAAATAAACATCACAGAGGCCATATAGTGCCTTTACTGCAAAGCACTTCTCCCTGCCTGTACCGAGGCAGGTTGTTGGCTGATGTGCCGACACACAAGACAAACAGTGGCAGCACCTCTGGGCAAACCCGTGGTGAGGCATCAAAACGTGGGGTGCAAGGGAGCTCAGACTGTGGATTTTGAGTTCTCACTCACCAGGAAGCACCAGGAATAACTCCCATGGTTAGATGGACTGAAAACCCCTTGTACTCTCCCCCTCCCAGTTAGACACTGCACGGTGCCAGAAATTATTAGGCTCAGCTCCCAGAGAGCTGCTGGTGTGATGCTCCTTCACAACAAAGACATCAGGCAGCTGATGTGTGCTATGGCCTCATCCCAAACGGGCTGTAGGCAGTGCCTGCTGAGGGATTGTTGAGCTGGGATGTTCTGTGTAGGGACAGGAACAGCTTTTACAAGGGGCACCAAGCAAATCCAGGCACTGCCATAGCTCAGTGGCTGCAGAAGTGCTGAGGAGCCTGCAGTCATGTATTTAGAAGGAATCATTCAAAGTACGTTCCTGGACTGTAAATGAACTGAAACTGCTCAGAAAAGCCCTGAGTGACACTGAAGGCCGTGCAATTAAACGCAGGGCTCTGATTTGCAATGATCAACAAAAAGCAAATACATTATTAGAATGCATGGCAAATAGAAAATAATTCTGAAAACGGACAGATTATGACTGTACTGTGCCATTATAATAATTAACAGCTTTTCCCTACTGGTTTGTTCACTAAGATTCAAACATATTCATTCTTTGATGAACATTTGTATTCAGAAAACGGCAAATTTCTTCCCAGCCTTCTTTTGTTGGGAAGGGTTGATAGCTGTTAATGAGAAAGGGAACAGAGAAGGAGCTGAACAGGATAGTTCCCACACTCACAAAGACACTTTCTCCCTGGGACCTTGAATTTCAGAGCAGCTTCCACTCATTTACAGAGCCTGGGAATGAAAGTGCCTTCCCTATGTGAAAATTAAATATATTCTTGCAGTGCTATGACTTTGCCTTGAAGCATTTGTTGCTCTCTGGTTTTTTCACATTTCTGGTCATTTTAACCCACTGAGCTTCACTGTATAAGGATGTCTGCATGTGGCTAATTCCTCCTCCTTTCCCCCTGCAATCAGGTTTTGCCCTTCATTATACCTTTCTGTGGACTCTGTTAGAACATAAACCTTGACAGAGTTCTTCGAGCTTTGTCCTACATCTTGCATGTACAGGAACTTTTCTCCCTAGATTGTCTTTTGGAGCACACCAGCTCATTAAAGTTTTGAACACTGAACCCTCCTCTTATTGCTTTATCGCCCAGTTTATGTGCCAAATGTCAAACTGGGCATCAGAAATCTGATTTATGAAGGTATATAGAGAAATTGTGGTACCCTGCTTGTGACTGGGAGTCAGCTGGCAGTTTCTATCAGGATTTCTCCCTCGGCTCCCAGGGGCCAGTCTGGCAGCCCAAAAGGCAGTGAATTCACAGATCATGATTCAGGGGCTAATGAAGCTTTGAAGCTTTTTAGAATATCTTTGAATGTATGTGCTTTCCAGTTTTAATCGCCTTTGACCATTTTGTGTTGGGGGGGGGGGGTGCGAGGTTTATTGCAAGTCAAAGCCGGGACTGAGTGTAAAAAAATGAAAGCCAAACAAGTCGAGCAGTCTCAATGCAAGACAGATTTTATGTATATACTCTTTTTCCTTCTCTTTGAACTATCAGAAAATCACGGACGAAGCCATAAACTGGCAGCACCACAAGCGTGGACAAGACATCTCGGGTTTTCCCTCCTAATTCACACCGAGGCGGATCCACGCCCCGGGCACACCCCCAGGGTGTCCCTCACCCCCACAGCCACAAAGGTGTTAGTTTCGCGGCCGGTTTCGCCTCGCCCGTGCCGTGGGCAGGCCCCGCTCCCCCGGCCGGAGGTGGAGCCTCCCCGCGCCGCCCCCGCCCCTGGCGCGGCCTGGGCGCTACGCGAGCGCGGGGATCGGCCGCGGCCTGCGGGCCGCCATGGCCGCCGAGGTGAAATCCAAGCTGTCCAAGAACCTGCTGCGCATGAAGGTGAGGGGGGAAGCGGGGAAGGCTTCACCCTGAGCCCCGCGCGGGGGTGAGGGGGGTCTGGGAGCGGCGGGCCCGGGGAGGGGGGGGGTGTCCCCCGGGCGAACCGCGCTGGTTTGGGGCATTTCCCGTGCCCAGCCCGCTGTGCCTTCCACGTTTGAAATCCAGTTTATCGATGGTGACCGGCCCAGGATTCTGGGCTGCTCCCCCCCCACCTCCAGCTCCCCCAGCAAGAAATCGCTGCTTTGAACGGGGTCCCGGGGGTTTCTGAACTGCGGGGCTCGGACCGGCTTCGTGATTCCAGCCAAAGTGCCTCTTCGAGAGCCACCTCCAGGGCACCTTTTGAGAGGGCCTTTCTTCCACCTGGCTCCTCTGGGTTGCTTTTTGTAAATATAAGTTATAAGACTTCCCCCCCACACACACACACACGTTGAAATTAAAGCATTAATGCTGCTTGCTTTACTTGGGAGTGGGGCCTTTAATACAGGGCGGGGCAAGTTTCTTTTCTCATTGTATCCATTTTTTTCTCAGTGTTTCCATTGCTAATGAAATCCCCAGCCTGAGTGGCAGCGTTAACCTCCTTTCCCAGTTTATAAATGTCAAGGATCTTGGTAACATCCTGGCGTGCCTGTTCCTCTTGGAATTGTGAATCTCGTGTCACCAGTGTGAAATTGGTCTCTGCTCACTGGCTAATAGATTCTGCTTCACACAGTGTACTACAGCTCCTAATTCAGTAGAGTACATTCCCCTCTGATTGATAGTTCTGTATTGCTGGAAAACAACCAGTAATAGTGGAGTTCCCATTATTTTTTTTTTTAAATGATAATATTCTTTCAATTTTTATGACTGAATATGATGGGGCCTTTGTGGCTTCTTGCTTGTGGTGTTTTATTTAACCGTTTTTTCCCCACATATATATATGGGGCTATATTTCACATTCTGGCTGAAAAGAGTTTGGTTGACATCAGTTAAATTTTTACCCTGAATTGTACTCTGCTGCAGTGAAATGATGGGATATTTACCCCAATTAATAGATGGTGCTAATGAAAGACTAAAACTTGTATGCAGAGGGGATGGAACACATCTTACCTACTCTCAGAAGGGAGTAGTTGTTGAGCTGAGTGTCACACTACTGGCTCTTATAACCTGGATTGCAGCATCATTATTTTTTCCTATTTTTATATAGTACTCTCTTGAAAAATAAAATTTTTACTCCTGTTGCTTGCCAGTTTATTAACCCCCTGGAGATTTCAAAAGCAGGTTTTCGGACTTTCTTCCAGGGAAGGCCGTGAAGAACCAGCCTGTGACATTTGCAGGTTTACAGTCCGGGCAGGAGTAACCAGCTTTGAAGACACGAGTGGGTTTTGAAAAGGTCATACACAGACCTTGCATTTAGAACTTCCCTCCTGCATATCTTCTTGTTTACAAATGTTTTAATTAAGCCTTTAGCAGCTGCCTCTGCAGACACTGCTAGGAGGGGTGAAGTGGCACCCAGAGGTGACATGGTCAGTGGCAGTGTTGTGAGGACCATTTACAGTAAATATTGGGCCACCACATAAGGATGGCTCACACTTTTACATCTTAAACCATTTTATCCAGGTCCCATTGCTTGGGGAAACTAATCCAACCAGCCACTCAGTTACTTTCTGTCTAGCCCAATGAGTATATATTTAATTCATCTCTGTGTGTTTACATTTTAGATAAACATGACCACATACATTTTAACTAGTTACTCCTGTAGTAATCTTTAGGGACATAATCTTTAAAATGTAATGTGAAATGATTATTTAATTGGGTGCTTGTAGCAGATATTTCTCCTGTTGAGATTTCTGACTGGCTAACCAATTTCCTTGAGCAATGTGGTTTTCCACATGATAGATTCACTTATTTTCCTCAAGAAGATACTGTAATTTTAATTGGAAAGCTCTGACATATTTTGAATCGACTCAGAAAACAGAAGTCAATTTTTCTTTCATTAAAGATCTTGTACAGCGGATCCAAATAGAAATATAAATGCAAAATGAGACAGTAGCTCTATTGGCTTTTGCCTCAGAGTTTGGTTTGGTTAGCTTGGGCATTTTGTAAGGACTGAAAAGATGTGTGGGGTTTATTAAATACATATATTACACATCTGTGTTACCAATATATTTTAAATAAACTCAGCAATGCAGGGTTTTGTGGGAGGAAGGTGTTTCGTGATGCCTTCTGGGGCTAGACTGTACTTGTAGACTTGCCTCTATCTGAGAATTACATTCCTATAAATGTATGCCTGTGACAGGTAGCGCTACTCAGACGTTTTCTGTACATCCTAAGGGAAGTCACAACCTCCTAGGTGGGATGTGAGAGTACAGGGATTATTTCTGGAACATTGTGAAGAGTTCTGGTTTTTTCCAGCTTGTTTCTTTAACGTTGTCACTCAGTTCAGGCACCTGGCTTGAGACAAATGGAAATTACAGTGATGTTTCACAGACCTGAGGTCTGTATTTCTGTGCTCTCAGCAGTTTTTCATAGGCTGTGACAGATGTCTTCTTCTACTCCCAGCTGTTGAGAGGTTACTGTCCCTACTTGCCTGTTCCCATCCCCTGACAGAGGTTATCACTGAGGAAGGGATTGAGAGGAATGTCCTTGTATTAGGCAAAAATAGCAGTCTTGCCCTGAACTTAATTATTGGTCTCAACTATTTTGGCAGACAGGTGCTTATATATCAAGTGGTGCTTTGGTCTCAACTATTTTGGCAGACAGGTGCTTATATATCAAGTGGTGCTTTGGTGGGTCATCAGGGAGAAGTGAGGAGCTGGTAACATCTTCCTTTAGCACAGACTTTATTCCATAGTCTGGTTTCAAAGTCTCAGTTTTTTTCCACTTCCAAAGGCAGGTTTGTGCCTTCAGAGCTACAAATGCAATCCAGTTCATTAAATTAAATCTGAGAAAAGAAGAGGCTGGTTGAAAGTATGGGTGTTTCAAAAAAAGGACAGCCTGGTTATGATCTGCCTCTAGCTCTGAGTTGTGTGGGTGGAGTTGGTTTCTGATCTGCAGCAATAACTTCAACACCATTACGTTCTCTTTGGCCTTTGTTGAAAGATTAGAAAAACATTAGCAAAGTTACAGAGTTGTGACAAATCAAATCCATCAAAACTAACCAGGAAAGATGTTTCTTTATCTGGAAGTGCAGATGTGACTGACTGTTGACTTGCTGTGATCAGCAGCTGTTTAATTTTCCATGGCCTGTTTGCCCAGACTCAGACCAAACTCAGAGAAAAATTAAAAAAAGCATTTACTTTTTATCAACTGCTAAATATTATGTAATGGCTAGTTGCCATCATAAAATTATTGCATGTTCAGAACATACTCACGATGAAAAAAACTGAAACTGTGTGTTTATGTGTCTTTTTTTTTTTTTTGTAGTTCATGCAAAGGGGTTTGGATTCACAAACTAAAAAACAACTAGAAGAGGAAGAAAAGAAGATAATTAGTGAAGAACACTGGTATCTTGATGTACCAGATCTAAAGGAAAAAGAGTAAGCTGTAACCTTTTGTACTTCTTATCATCATAGGATTGTTTTGAAATGGAAATAGTATATTTGTATTTTTTTCTATAAAATAGATATTATTAATGAACAATTAACAGAAGCAAAAACTGTAACAGACTGGCATTACAACTTTATTACTTTCAGGGCTGTTCTCAAGGTTGCCTATTGTAGTTTGACCTACTTTCAATTCTTATGTGTGGTGTTTTCTTTCACTCAAACATTGTTCTAGATGCAAACAATTAGTTTCTTTCAGTCAGGGACCTATTCATTCATTGCTGCTTTTTCCCTTCATTTGAAAAAAAAAAAGAAGTTTGAAACTTTGTGTTTGTAAATTCAGCTCCAGTCACACGGTTTAAGTTCATTCAGGACAGTTCTGTCTCCTTGTGTCCAGCTCACTTCAAATCCTGTTTTTGAAATAGGAGAGAGAATGGCAAAAATAAAGGAAGGCTTAGCTAACAAGGAAGAAAATGTCCTGCTCTTTAGAAACGTGCTTCAAATAGCAGGAAAACCACTTTTAAAACTGCTTGGGTCTCATCCTTTCACAAGTGTAAAAAAAATTCCATTGAGGGAGAACATACACAATTTTGAAAAAGCTGGGGCCCAAGGAATTAACTGTAGTTGAATGAGGTCATTGATAAACCCTTTTCCATTGCTCTTGGTGGATGTGACAAAAAGGTATTTGAGCTTCAGTTGCAGCAAGGAAGGTTCAAGCTGGACATTGGGGGAATTTTTCTAACAATAAGGCTATTGAAGCTCTGGAATAGATTGCCTGAGGAGACACTGGATTCTTCATCACTGGAAGTCCTTTGAGGACAGGTTAGGTGGACCTCTGCTGTTCATGGTACATGTCTAACTGATACTGCCTTGAGGCAGGAGAATGAGCTTCATCTCTTCAGCCCAACTTCCTGTGATCCTGAGAGTTTGTTTGACATGGGAGATGAAGAGGATGAGGGAACAAGTACATACGTGTGTGAGGAAAAGAAGGAGGGAACAATTCAGGGAAATACTTTTATCTGACACGTGTATTATGAACACCTCAGGGTCATGTTTCTTTTCTCACTCCATGCTCATTAGAGGAGGAAAAAAAGGAGGGAGAAGGGGGAAATCTGTCCCTGCTGAACAGAGAATGACAGTGTTTTATGTCCTGACAGACTCAAACTAATGCCAGGTCTAACGGCACAATGAAAAATTAATTAGAAGCTTTTGCTGGTATAGTAATGCCACCTGGAGAGTGATATTTATGTGGTATTTTTATTCTGGGAAAAGTATTAATGTAGGTGGAATCGTACCAGCAGAGAGTGTTTTTTGTCAGAAGAGTTAATTTTGCATGTGGAACTGGCACAGCCCTACTGGCAAAAAGGATTCCTTTGCACTCCAAGCTCCTTGTGCTGAAAGATTTATCAGAGCAATTAAGCTTCAGAAAGTGGTGGATGGTATAAAATACCCTGTGGTTTTGTTTATTTGGGGGGGGGGGAGGCAGCAAAGGCTTTTTGCATTTGTTTAATTTGATTATTTTGAAGTGCACCATTTGACCAGTTGCTGGGTTTGGGGTTTCGTGCAGGAGCTGTATAATAGAAGAGAGAAGCTTTGTGCGGTGTGAGGATCTGGTTTATGGCAGAATGTCCTTCAAAGGATTCAATCCAGAAGTCGAGGTACTGTTTAAATGCCCTGGTTTGAGGTGGTCTCACATTAGGATTGAAGCCCTTGGGGGTGGGGATTTGGGTGTTCACACTGCATCCTGTTTGGCTTTCGCAGCACCTTCCGTAAATCCTCTCATGTGCAGGAACTCCATGATTCAGCCCAAAATGTTGGATCAATGCAGCATCTGGTGAATAGAAGCTTTTTATCTCCCTGTGTTGGTAGTCAGTAATTGCATGACTCCTGCAGATTTTCTCTCCCAGAAGTGAGGAATCCATCCCACATGCTACTCACCAAAACAAAAGCTCACTTTTCCTCCTGACATTTAATGCAGAGTCCAATCTACAAACACTCTGCCCTATTTATTCAACGTTTGCTTGTGTAAGGTCTTAGAGTTCCCAAGTAAAAGTGCTGGGAAACAGAGTCTTTAATTTCTTTCTGGCGTGATTCGTGCTGATAGAACTACACAGGGACAGTAATAAAAAGGTTACCACTGAACTGAAGCAAGAGAATGAAGGTGCAAAGACTAAAAGGTTTGCAGAAGGCTATGCAAGATGATTTACTAGGGGATTCTTTTAGTTATTTTGAACTTGCTGTCCCTGTGACTCAGCATCTGATTGCTTCATGGCTTTAAGTGTGAATCCTTGCAGGTATTTTTCCCCTCTTAACAAAACTATTTTAAGGACTATGTGGTAACTTCACAATGGGAAATTAATTATGATATAATTCTCTGGTCTCCTGAAGATGTTTGGAGTGCCCCTTAGGATGTTTGAGTACTACAAGACACTGAAAACACTCTCTCTGTGTTGCCTCTTTTCCCAAAGGCAAACTCGAAGCTCAGTTTCTTCATCAGTTTTCGTAACAATATGCTCAAACCTGGCCAGGCACAGCAAATAATTATTAAATTTCGTTCTTAGCTTTTATGTGCTTCTCCCACCTGTGAATTTCAGCACAGTTGCCGTTGTGACATGGTTACATATTTAAGCTATTTCTTACCTCATTTTCAGAAGTTAATGATCCAAATGAACTCCAAGTGCAAGGAAGAAGAAATTGAAGAGGATGATAAAATGGAGGCTGATGTGTCAGATGAAGAAATGGCCAGAAGGTAAGTTATATTTTATGACATAATGAACACTAGCTAGGAATGTGATTTGTTACTGTATTATGTGTGGGGAAATAAAACCCAAAAAAATCCCAAACAAAACAAAACAAAAAAAACCAAACTAGACTGTACAGAACTGATTTTCCAGGAATGCTGGTTTATATTCAGTGGAATCTCCATCACTTCTGGGGATAAAATAACTTCTGCCCTTTGATATCCAGATATTCTATGCTACTTCCCTCCTTGTTACCAATTGCTAACAAATTCAGACTGTCAGAATGAATAATGATCTAATAGGCCATCATGTAATACTTGTGCTTCTCAGGCTTCTAATGACCAGGCTTTTTACACCACTTGAATTGGTGATTAGATTTATGATTTGCTCCATTGAATTCTTTTCCAATTTTAGTAAAAGGTGTAAAATTTTTTATTCTCTTTACAGGTACGAAACATTAGTGGGAACAATAGGGAAGAAATTTTTGAGAAAGAGAGACCAACGTGTACTCAAGGATGATGATGATGATGATGAAGATGGTGAAGTTGATGAAGACAGGAATAGTAACATAATACCTAGGAAAAAAGCTAAGAAAATGTTCTTAAAACCTCAGGATTAATGTAAACTGCACAAGTGGAACCAATAGAAATGTTACCTAATGCCTGCCAAACACGAACTGGAGATTGTTTGGAGATTTTGCTATTTAATGTAAAGGGTGGATTTGTAAACCTGTTCTGTTCTCACTGAAATTTCAGCCATCCACAACAGACATTTTTCGAAGTGGATGTGTCACAGTGGATGTTATACATCCTTTCCTCCCTCAGCAGCTTTTAATGTGTGGGGCACTAATCCCACCAGTCTCTTTTAAATGTTGTGCATAACCACATCAGGTACCTCATGCAATGGAGAGCAATGTTATTTACAATTTAGGATAACATCTGAAAGAACTATTCAAAGTAAAGATGAGCTGTGTCCAATTCAGCAAGGCAGTTCAGTTTCCACTGCTTTCTTTATAATGAAAATGAAAACCTTTACTGTCATCAAATTGAAAAACGTCAGCAGAAACATGGGGTTCTTGTGATTTTTTTTTTTTTAACTGTGCTAAAAATAATATGGGAAAAGAACAGAGAGATAAAATCCACCTTACTGAATTTTATTTTTTATAAAGTTTATTTAAAAATAGAGGATTTTGTAGTGCAACTTTTTTTTATAGAGCAAGCCAAATATTGGGCAACGTTTACGATTTGACATTTGAGCAGATTGTGAGTCTTAGTTTCTGTCTTCCAAAAGAAGTTTGCTAATCTTGCCTCTTTTTCAGCAAAAAAAAATCCAATCTTATAATTATCCAAGTCTTGTCGTAAAAGCATAATAACGGCTTCAGAAACATTCCTGAGAGCTGAATAAAAACTGTGGGGTTTTGTGCCTAATGATTGTGGTTTAGCTTATTTAATGTAAAAAAAAAAATGATGCTTCATACAGTCTGATGTAAGAAGTGATCCTGTTTTGTGCTGGCCACAGATGTCCCAAATACTCGTTGAGTGCAGTGATTTGTTCAGCGTGTGATGAAGCCACCTGAAGTCATAGTAGGAGGAAACATCATGTCCCTTGGTCAGTCAGTGCTCTGGGCCTACTGAAAAATGTCAGTGTGGTCTTGCCTAAAATCATAGCAGTTCTCTGTGAAATACCTTTCAAGATAAAATATTGCTATTACTGCATTTCCTCAGGATGCCTTAAGTTACTCATCCTTAATGGTGACTCTCTGGAGAAAGGAGTGGGTTAAACTGAAGTGAGGAGTGGCCATTCTGTCATGGACACGAGAGGCATTTTTTTCTTCTTTTTTTAGCAGCTCAGTGAAGCAAGACATGAAACTCAATTATTTAAAGAAGGAGACACTGTTTCCTGCTGTATTTTGCATGTGATATATGAACTATAATCTATATATCAGGAGCACCTCATTAGATATTCAAGATGGATCACACATGGCAAGAGAAATATACTTTTAACCTAGTAAGGGGACCTCATGCAGGTGGAAAGGCTGTGATTCATGATCTGAGATAGTTTTTCGGAGCTAATTAAATGCTACTGGTTCAATTACTTAAAACCTGATCATATATTATTGCTAGCTGAAAAGAAGTTAATGATGGCAAGACATTTTTCTTCCCATGCAAGATGTGACCTGAGCTAAGAAATGATTTATTGTTGGTCATCACAAGAAAAACTTGGAATATATCCCATTATTCTTTCGTGCTTATTAGGAGGAAAATGGTTCCTCTCTCTCACTGAGCGCATTTCTTGAATGGAGAGCGAATTTCTGCATGGCTGAGCTGGATAGTTGAGGGGTGAAGTATGTTCTAGTGAACCACCAGCAACCAGGAGATGTCACTGCAATTGCATGGCCTGAGAGGCAGTGGACTGGGGAGGTTTCTGGTCGTGCAACATGAAGGAGTTTTGGGGTTATTTTGACAACGAGAGTGGCTCAGATGAACTCCATGTGAAGTCTGCCTTGGCCAAAGCTCCGTGCAAAGAGCTCTCCTGGATTGCAGTGTCCTGTCCAGTCCAACAGGGGGTGATTTTGAGCAGTTAAAGGCCGTTCTGCCACATGTTGCTCCTTGATTTCATGTCATTTCCCCAGGGACAGCTGGAAAGGTGAGTGGCATGGTGCCTGAATAAGCACTGAGTGAACGCTAAACAGCTTCCTAGAAAATCCATGATTTTGGAATCAGCAGAGGGGGAGGGTAGTTCTGCTGTTTCCTGAACATGCTCAACACCAACTGTGAAGAAATGGTAGATTTCAGTTTATTGTCTTTAAATCTGGGGGCTTTGCTGTTCACATTTAGCTGGTGGCTCAGTGAGCTACTGAAATGCTACAGTAAGACCAGCTACTCATTTTTAGCACAATCTTTTATTCATGGGGAGTTTGTAAAATGTGCCTTTAAATACACCATCCATAGTGCATTATTGTGAGCAAGACAAGACAAGACCATAATCAGCCCTGCATGACTTTTTAAATGTACTTTAGGTACCCAAAGTTACAAGCAGGTGTATATAATGGGATCTTCCAAAATACCCATCTACATTTCCATTTATATAAATACATATATATATATGTATGTGTATTTATTTAAGTCTGACTCTGGCTTCCTACCCAAGGTGGAAACATTCAGCTGCACAAAATCTGTGCTTGAACTACTCTTGATAGAGATGTAAGTGTAGCACTGAAATATTCATAAAAAGAACCTACAATAATTCCAGCTTTCTTGGTGCTGACACAGACTCAAATGCATTTTCATGTGCAAGTTCCTAAGCTGTAGAACTTTCCCACGTGGTCGTGTTTCTAAGTGAAAAGTGACATTAAAAGTTTTGTAAGTAGTGTTTTTATTAAGGAATGTGGCTCCCTGCAAAATGTAGCTGGTGAAGTGTTACCAGACACCAGGAGTGTTTGTGCCTGTGACACCGAGGTACCTGTTGGAGTGAACAGAACAAGGTGTGGGTGTAGTTGGTGCTCACAGTTCAGTGTTAAGTCTGTCTCTTGTCAGGTGAAGTTTGGTCCTTTGGCAGGCTGATGGTCTTTATTTCTGTAATAACTGCTGGGGTTGGAACCATGGAAGTACTGAGCAGTAAAACGTCATCTTTTTTGCTGATCTTTCTCATTTTACTTTTATTCTGCTTAGTATTGGATCTTAAAAAGTCCAGGACCAGAGTCCAACTGAAGTGAGCCATCCTGTGTCCTCCCTTTAGTAATGCATGAGCTGATTAAACTTTGGTTCTTTGGGGAGGGGCAGGATGTTCAGTGGTGCTATGGAGTTTGAACCGTGTTTCTTCTGCCCTGTGTCTTGTTTTCTAATCAGATACTCCATTATGCAATGCTACAATGGCTGTCATTGCCACTGGGCATTGCGTGTGTGTGTAATGGGCAGCTGGGCTGGGATTCTGGGACTTAATCCAGAATTCAGACTTAAAAAAGAAATTGTCTTGTCTTTCTCTTAATTGGAATACCATACTTTTAAATTGTATTTGGAATTAGACAAGTCTAGGGGCACGGGGGACGTTTCTAAGCATTTGTTTTGCTTCATTTCAACAACAGTCCACAACTAAAACTGCAAAATCGTTTAGGCTCTTATTAAACCCTTCTCAGAGAGTGTTAATAAAGCAAAGTGGTGGTGAAGGATGTAACACATCCCACAGTTCCTTCCGCATGTGAATGCGAGTTTCTGTGAGAGCTGATGTTTTAATGACTTGGGTGTTTCCTTTCTTTTCAGACTGGGACAACATCAGCTTGTACAATTATGCCTTGCTGAGGGAACCCCAGCATGAGGCCTCCGGGTTTGTTTGGTTTGTTTGGTTTTGTTTGGTTTCACGCCATCCTCATCTCAAACCTCTGAGGCACTTTGGGATGGCATTCACTACCTCAATAACCTGCTTTCCTCAGCTTTTGGGGAGCTTTGGTTAAACTGTGAAACTGTTTCTTAGCTCTGTGTGTTGGCATTTATTTGTGTGATTTGATGTTGCACGGTGAGGGCCTGGTTATAATTGTCACACTGAGAGGAGAAATCCCACTCAGAGTGGTTATGGACAGATGGAGTCAAGGAGAGGGTTGAGGCTTCAGTCACCACAGAGTTATCACAACCCAAGCAATTATCTGAGAGCAACAGCAGGAACACCTCTAGAGAAGCTGGGAGGCAAAATAACCACTCTGTTAATGACTGTTCTCGAGAGGGAGCAGCACCAGAAAACAGCTGTAGTTCACTGAGTACAGAAATATGGTTTGGTTACCTGGGTGAGTGCAGATGGGAATTTCCATCAGTTAGAATGGAGGTGTGGTGAGTGTTGTGAAGCTTGTCATGTTCCCTGAGGTCTCAGGGAACACCTTGTGATTATCAATCATTTAGAAAAGGGTAACCCCCCTTAATGGGACCTTAATATAAGAGAATAATATGAATACAAATTACCCAACAAATCCCATGGTAGAAAAGCTGTGTTCTCCTCTCAGTTAAGATCTCCATGTCCCCTATCACCTCTTGCCTGGCCCTCAGTTCCTTGTCCCTGTGCAATGACGAGTGCACCCAGGCCATCAGCAGCCACCACAGCCATAAAGGATTGGAACAGTCTGCCCAGGGAAGTGGTGGAGTCACCATCCCTGGAAGAGTTCAAAAAACACGTGGATGTGGCACTTGAGGTCGGGGTTTAATGGTGAACCTGGTGCTGGGTTTGAGGGTTGGACTTGAGGATCATAAAAGTCTTTTCCAACCTTAATGATTCTAGGAAGTTTGAGGTGGGAAGGGTTGCAGGTCGGTATCAGGAGTGAACAGACCCCACTGAGCAGGTGGTGTGTGCAGGAGTCATGCAGCTGGGGGCAGCTGCACTTAAAACAACTCTTAATTGTTTTATTTTCCTTTTATTTATTTTCAGGTATACACTTACAGCATTTGTGAGATTAATGATCAGGTGATGTCTTTGAGCAAAAATACACTATCAGTGGGAGGAATCAATGTTTGACCAATACTCAGGCTTATCACATACTGGGGAGAAAAAGTGTTTTTCACTGCTTCTGCTACTTTTTTTATGCATTTAAGAATGTTTCTCCTTTCTTAGTGGTTTCCTTGGTTGGGCTTTTTGCAGAGAAGCATGGTAGGAGGAACAACATTTTTTAAGAAATGGGGAAACGTGGTTGCAAAATAATTCAAAAGAAAAAGTTTCTTTTAGATTTGGCTGGCTCCTTGTTTTGTTTTCACTTAAATACCAATGAGCAAACTCCCTTGTGACATTAAAGCTCCCATGCTAAGCAGTTCACATGCAGGACAGCTATATGGACTCTCATGTTTGCCATACACAGAGAGGAAAGAACTAAGGATATAGTGGGCTTAGCTTCATTGTTCTACCTTTGATATACAAATAAAATGCAATGCTGAAAATACAACATTTCTGCCCCTTTTGGGACAAAAGTAAATCTAAGCCAGCTGTGATGTTTAATCACCATTTATAGGATGATTACTTATCAGAAGCAAAGATTATAGTTATCTCCTTGGAGCCCATCAGCCACAATAACACTGCCATACAGAGAATTTTCATCACCAAAAAAATCTGTACATAACCAAAAATTACTTTTTGGTAGTTTAGCTTACTGTGGTAATGCCCATAAGGATGCACATGATGCTAATTTTCGTTTTGTACTATGTTTTGTCTAAGGATGATGGCAAAAGAATTATGCCTCCCAATGCTCCTTTCAAAGATGACAGAGAAATGACACAGGTGGTAAGTGGTTGGGTCTTATGAAAAATGAAGTTTTAAATGTGTACTTCATTGTCTAAATGTTCACAGATGACTTGTCTCCCTATAATAACCACAGAAAATGTGTTGGCAGCATATCACAATTAATAATCCATACCCCTATTTGTGTGCCACAGGCAGTCCAATATTCTCCAGACATATTTCTTACCCAAGCTTATAACCAGATTCAAATCAGATCCTACGTTTGTGCCAAAAATTGAGTGGCAGTCATCTCACAGCAAATAATTTTATCTGATTGACTCGAGAGTCTTAAATTCCTAGTTTTTCCCAAAGTAGAATTCACTTTAATCCCATATTAACATATTTGTCTTTCAGTCACCTGCAAATGAATCCCATAACCTTGCAGAAGGGATTGCACAGATGGTGGAAGGTACTGTACATACGTATTGTTGTAGGTTTTCCTGATCATCTAGATTGTGTAAGATCCTTTAACGTTAATTGGGATGAGTTTTCTATCTAGGGTGATGTTGAATTTCTCTTTGAGAGTTTTTTCCACCTCTTCATCTTCAAGAGTTACAAACTCCACCAGATCCATGTTTTCCTTGTAGTTGTACGTGGTCTCAGTGAACGTCCACCCAATTAGTGCTTGGAAACCGTCGGTGGTCTGGAGGGTGCAGATGGACTTCTTTGTAAAGAGGGAATCTGGAGAGGTCTGGAGGTACGTGCACTGGAAACGGAAATCTTCCACTGTCCGTGGCTCAAGGCTGAACATATAAACCTTCCGACACTCTTTTTTCTCCAGCAGGTCCGAGTTAGAGAAGCTCTGGTTGGGGATGTACTGTTTCCGTCTCATTTTCTCCAGGTACCAGATGGCGTTTCTCTCCGTGAAGCGGAAGACGCCGGGAGCCTGGGGCTGGTCTTTGCCCGACACGAGCTCCATGGGTTGCCACATCTGATAGGATACACCGAAGCCTCCGTCAACAATGTAGGCTTTGCCATCGATGACCACCTTTACCAGGAGGTGGGTCATGATGGTGGCGTATGCGTTTTGGTGTGGGTTGAACACATATGCTCCCAGGAAGCTGGTGTCGTAGCCCAGGCTCTTGAGGACCCAGCCCAGCAGCTGGTTGTTTTCCATGCACCAGCCCCCCCGCTTCCTCTGCACGATTTTGTTGTAAACATGCTCCAGTTCCAGAGTAATTTTCTCCCCGCAGTGGATGCTGAGGTTTTCGAAGGGAACGGCACGGATGTGGTGCTGGAATATATCGGTTAGGGTTTCCAAATCTTGTTTTTCAAGGGAGCCTTTGTAGCCAGTTCTTGCAAAATACTCTTCAAGATTCATGTCACCTGTAAAGGAAGGAAGTGCATTTTGGTTTGGTTTCTTTACGTCAGTGATTTATGATGCTGTGAAAAACTGCCCTGGCTCTGCCAGCAAAGATGCTTTAATCTACTGAACCTCATCAGAGCAGCTCTTAACGGTACCAAGCATTCATACATATCAAATGGCTCCCCAGGCAAAGAGCAGTGCATGTGAGAGTTTGCTTTTGTCTTAGAGGCATCCCTATAGCAAACAGCTGATGCCTTTTCAGCTTCATGTGTGGTGCCTGTGAAAGGGGGATTTGCTGTATTTGCATTGTAACAGTGGGGTTAAGAAGAAATAAAAGATCGTGCTAGGGAGTATGTACAAGGGTTCATGAAAAATGGTCTAAATTCTTCTGTCCAGTGCAAGGGGGGTCAGTGGGGGAAGCAGTGTCGTCTGCCAGTTGGAGGGAGGGTAATTTGAGCCAGGATCCACATGATTTTTACATGAGTCTGCCACTGACTGACGTGACAGAGAATTGCTTGGTCAGTACACGTCGCAGTTGATACTCCTGCACATTTTGTAAAGTGTCAAGTTTTATTCAGATAATTTTAACTGGAAAAACTCTGACCTTTGAAAGAGTCACAGACCACTGAGTCTTGTGTCTGCTCTGAGTGTTGCAGAAACTCATTTTGGCGTTGGAATAATGAATCCTGATGGAGGTGAGTGACCCCAGAGACAAAGAGCACATTTGCCCTGCATCTCACAGGGTGCCCTGAAAATGGACATGGGCTGTTTTACACCTCTCTAGGCCATTCTCAAAGCTCACTTTTCCAGAGAAGGTGTGACTGAGAATTACCCAAGCCTCACACAGTGCAGCCTCAGCCTGGCCTGACTCCAGCAGTGCCCATCTCCTGGCCTGCCTTGGTAGGACTCCTCATGAACAAGATTTCTGGATGAGGAACTACTCAGCTTCATTTCTGCCTTCTAATACCATGAAAAGCCACTCACAGTCATCTGGCTTTTGCAATGGCCCATCACAAGCTCTGGCCACTGCCACGAGCTGGATCCTTGGTAGGTATCCAGTAGATGCTGTCTGTAAAATACACTGTAGATCATCTGCTTGGGTCTGGAGCTGGGCACAAAACGTTTTGAAGGCTTGAGCCTTTGCAAAGAGAGCACTGAGCATTTCAGCAGTTCAGAGCTAGCGCAAAACTTTAGCCTCTTGCCAACACACAAAGCCACTTGGAGATCTTTTGTGCATACACAGTAAGCAGAGGCTTAGACACGTCTTAGTGACTCAGGAGGACTATTGTATTCAGGTGAATTCAGTGGTGAGCTGCTGAATGTTTACTGCAAACTAGAATTTCTCAGGATGACTCCAAGTGGCAGATTCGTGCTGTGCACGTACCTGGCATAGAGGCAGCTGTCCAAAGTGCACGGAGAGCACCATCAAAAACTACATGTTACCTGCTGCAGAAAGGAATTTCTGCAGTGATATCTCAGTGTATTGTTGGAGGATAGTCTCAGTGTAGTGTTTGTTAAGTGTAACATAAGATTCAGGGCACTTTTGGTTTGCAGAAACCAGGTGTATCTGATCCTACTCTGATTGTGAATGCTAAACAGATCACATCTGCATAAAGCTGGTTCTGGAGTTTATATTATTTGTAATTTCTCTCTGCAGCTCCACAATGTGATTGATCAGCATTAGAGCCGGAGTGTAGGAGATGAAAGCTGCTGTTCTTTTGAATTTTGAGCAGGTCAAATGAAAGGCAGGTATGGAAAAGGTACCTGCCAAAGGTACCTGCCAAAATGTACCCCCCAAATGTGGCTATGATTTATGCAGAGAAAAACATCAGCAGAAGAACTTTAAAGAGCTGTTTCTGAATGTGCAAATGAAGGTGCTCATGCAAAAATATTCCTTACCAGGACTATACACACTATCAGCAATGCCACTGTTAAAAACATGTTATTTGTCTTCCTCTATCTTAATACCTCAAGCACATGGATTTTCTGGGTTATATAACCCATAGTTTGTAATTTTTTTCTTAAGTAGTTTTTATTCCCATAAAGCAGAATCTATTGATTATTAGATTGCACTTTTGCTTCCTTTGCACTTGCAATACTATTAAATAAATTTAAAAATCTAAAAGCGTGACTTCCATCCAGAGGTTGCAGTTCTAAATTTGTATCTAGTATTTATATCTAGTATTGTATCTAAACAAAAGAATCTCTGTCTCATAGTCAATTGAACCCTCTCCTGAAGAGTGAAAGGTAGAAGAATTGAAATTGCATGTCACTTTTTTTGCCCTCTTTAGGAGCTCCTGTTTAGCAGGTGCTATTTTAGCTCTATATCCACACATATTTAGAACATGTTTCCTAGAGAATATTGCTTACGTTATTGCCCGTGACCTCTACCATCAAAAGGAAAGCAGGGGTTTTGTTGCTTTGTTTGGAGGGATTTTTAAGAAAATAAAAACTTACCTCTTAAGAGATCCTTTGTTATTTATTGAGGTATTCAGTTTCTGGGTGGTTTATTCCAGTCGGTGAAGCCAGGAGTGGGTACAGATTGTGAGGGTTGTCTTTCTAAGCTCTGCTGGCCCTTGCTCCTGAATCTTAAATTCCAAGAAAGGGCAGAGTCCACCCAAAATGAAGGCACATTTTTGGACTTCACTGATCCATGAGCAAATTAAACTTTGTTTCTTCTCTATTAGTAGATGTTTATGCCTTCCCCTGGTTAAGACCAGAATGAACTTGTTTTCCACGTAAAATAATTACACTAGGCAGTTACAAATGGCTTTGTAACTTTTTTAAATTAAATGATGGTCGCTTGTATGGTATGTATGGCTTGTAACCATAATTTTAACCATATTAACCAAATTAACCGTAATTTACGGCTTGTAAATTATCATAGAATCATAGAATCATAGAATAGATTGGGTTGGAAAAGACCTCCAAGATCATCAAGTCCAACCCCTGATCCAACTCTAATTACTATATCATGGCACTAAGGGCCATGTCCAATCTCTTTTTAAAAACTTCCAGGGATGGTGAATCCACCACCTCTCTGGGCAGGCCGTTCCAATGCCTGATCACCCTCTCTGTAAAGAATTTCTTCCTAACATCTAACCTAAACTTCCCCTGGCAGTTTAATTATGTAAATTATGGTTAAGTAAATTATGGTTAAGCTTGTATGCTTGATGGTATCCGTGTCCTGGTGGGTCCACTGAATTGCCAAGGCATTGCAGGCTGGGTGTTCCCATGCTCCATGGATGCACACAATGACACTTCTTTGCCCTCTTTAATCAGTTCAAATCTTCAGCTGCAGCAGGCAGTTATTTTGGAGCTGCCACACCTAACAAATACTTATTTGCACAAAGTTATGCATTTCCTCCTCCTGCAAAGCATTGCAGTGCTCCTTATTTAATTCTCTCCCTGTCAAGCACGTCCCCCCTTCATTTGATGGGGGTGGAATGTCAGAGCAAGTCCCTTTTGGGAAGGCAAAGAGCACATTAGGCTGCATCTGGGAAAACACCTGAATTTTAGGCACATCAGGTGCTCTGTGGCTCTTGTGTGGTTGACTAAAACAAGTATTTTCCTTGGGTAAAGACTGATGCTCTTCGTGGCACCTGCCCCAGGTATCTTAAGGCAAAAAGCTTTTATGTTATGGAAATCATGCTGTGAAACCACACTGGTAGCATGTCCTAACTTCCCAGTGTTTTCTTTTGCATCTGTGGTATCACTTTTTAAGGCAGCTTTTGTGCAAAGCACTGCCTGTAATAAATAGGAAGAGTTCTGTCTATAATACTGTCAATGCCCTCTTGACATCACACAAAGATTTGGTCCCAAAAGTTTAAATTATGGTTTGCAAAAGGTGATCTTTGATATTTTTTTCCAGTTTTGATACCAAAAGCCTGATTTTTAAGAACTGTTGAATCAGCTTGTCTTCTATGAATTTTGCTTCAAATTTAGAGACACAGAAATATCAGACTCAGAAAAAATGGGGTGCTCAAAATTAGAGAGCTTCTGGCGGGGGTTAGGTGCCTTGGTGTAAATAGCTCACTTTAAGTCAATTCCTGGTGAGGGAATAGGACTGAAGTCTTTCAATTTATCTCATCATAACCTAATCAGCACTAATGGTGTCTTGTTTTGAGAAACTCTTAACCTTCCTTTTTTTCTAGTAAGTCTTTGAAAGCCAAATTCAGCTCTACTTTTAGATTTTTAAAGGAAGTGAATAATTTGTAAAACTCTGCTGAGAAGACTGGAAGTAACACCAAAAAGGGTTAGAAGTCTTCTGTGTAAAATGGTAACACAGCTTCTCCTTCTGTATCATTTTGGCCTCCTCTGATACAAAATATACCTGCAATAAAATGAGTTCCAGAGGGGTGGAACAAAATGTTAAGGAGTCAAAAGGCAATTTCCATACAAAATCAGCAAATCAGAGGTGGTAAGATGTCTTAGTTTCCAAAGAGGGAGAAGCTTAAGAAAAAATATGCAAATGGTATATGCAGTTAACTAGCAAGGCACTTGAATTTATGAAGCTTTGTGTCTAGTTCAAATTCAGAATCAATTAATGTAATTAATGTTAATTTTAGAACTTTTCTGTTGGATACTTACAGATCCATCTAGCACAGTGCTAGAATTAGATCTTATCCACTAAATTAGGTGGCAAGCCACGAACATTTACTGGTACAAGTTTGTTCTCCAGCACTATGTTGAATTTATCTTTCAGTGTCTTCTCAAGCTCTTCGTCTGTAAGAGTTGTGATGTGCACCAGGTCCGTGTCCTCTGTGTAGTTATACTTCACCTCAGTCAAGGTCCATCCCACTAAGGCAATGAGCCCTTCCGTGGTCTGGAGACTGCAGATTGACTTCTTCCGAAGTATGTTATCTGGAGACACTTGTAGGTACGTGTTTAACTCCTGGAAGTCATTTATGTGTCGTGGCTCAAGAGTGAATCTGTATATTTTTCGGATGTTCCCCACTCCTGGAGTGTCAGTGAAGTGAGGAGTCTCACTTTGCTCAGGAATGTAATGCTTCCTTTTGACTTTCTCGAAGTACCAGGTGCCATTGTCTTCCGTGAAGCGGAAGATTCCAGGGACCTGGGCTTGATCCTTCCCAGAAATCAGCCTCAGTGGCTGCCACATCTGGTAGGCACCACCAAAACCAGCATCCACTATGTAGGAATTTCCCTGGATCACCACCTTCAGCAGGATATGGTTCATCTCAGCAGTGTATGCCCTTCCTGCTGGTTCATAACTATTCCCACCAAGAATGCAGATGTCATAGCCTAATTCTTGCAAGGCCCAAAATAAGAGGTGGTTGATTTCCAGGCACCATCCACCACGTTTCTTTCGCACAATCTTATTGTAAGTGGACTGCAAATCCAGTTCGATGCTCTCCCCACAATGCATGCTGAGGTTCTCAAAAGGAATTGCCCGGATGTGATGCTGGAAGATGGCTGTTAAGGTTTGCAAGTCTGCATCCGTATGGGGCTTGTTGTAAGATATTCTTCCGAAATACTCTTGGATGTTCATTTTGCCTGTGTGAGCAGAAGAACAGCCAGTTACTGCTCTGCAGCTGTCAAGGGCTTCACTCCTCTTTCTGTAACACAGGTTAAGCAGCCTGCAAACATAGCCTGGGCCATTTTATTGAGGATTTGAAAGAAACTTTTACCCCTGACAGGAGACAAATGCAGGCTAGACCTGCCTGTGGCATTTGTGTTTTTTCAGAGAGACACAAGGAGAGGAGCAGGTGACAATAATGCTTTCCCTCTCTCAGGTGTTGCCTTCAAACCAGATGGATGTCTTTCCTATGGGAAGACACGGCACACACTGTAACAGAATCTCTGGCCACAGATGAGGATCCCACATGACAAAAATTTTCTAAAACTGGCAAACAACAGGTTTTCAGAAAAGCTGTTAGACTATACCAGCATAAAAGTCGCAGCAAGTTCCTACTGTTTCTTTTACCAGGTAAGCAATTCTTTCTTTATCCCACAGGTAATTTAACCAGAAGGTTTTACATTCATGGCTTCATTTAACTGGGATTAACATCTCAGTGTGTCACCATTTTAGACAGGCTTCCATGTGAAGTAGATTGTTGTTTTCTTAATCACTTAAATTTCCCTGTGGAGTTTAGACAGGGCTTTGGCCTGTGAAAGGAAGGAACTGTTAATTTTTCTAACCTAAGAATCAGAGGAACTGGTAATTACTAAGAATACATACAAGGTGTATTCACCATCTTTTGGGGTTTTTTTACCATCTTGTACAAACAAAAACCTTCTCTCTCAGCTCAAATTATTTGAAATATTTTGTGTCTTTAGGTCTTTGTTCCCATTTCCTTTCATCATCAGAAAGACACTGTCACTGGTACTGGCTGTGTGGTCAAGATGCAAAAGGCTTGCCGTAACACTTCTAATCCACTGACTCATCTGGTCTTTGCAAGGATTTCTTTTGCCTTTAGTTTAGATTTAATTTGGCTTTTTTCTATGGAAGGATATTTTTTTTTCCAGAGCAATTCACAATATGCTAAGGACTGTGGTAATTTCTAAAAAGTCTGAGATTTCATGCTCAAAGTCCCTGGGAAGATTTTCCGAAAATCATTTGGTGTGGATGAGATGCGAGAATCTCCCTTCTGGTGACTGTTCTCAGCTTTGGTCCATCTGCTCCCCCCCAGCAGTTTGACCCCTGTGCTCGTGCCAGCATTCAAGGGAGTGCTGGGGGCTTGTGAAAATCCCACCTCAAATCCACGGGTGGAAACGCCCCCGCCCCAGCAGGTGAGCACATCAGATGACCTGATCTCTAGGCTTTAACCCCAACCTTGATGCCAGCAGCACAACTCACAGGACTTAGTTTTATTGCTCCTGATCTGCACTGGTACCAGGATTCAGACTGGCTGATGCAAAGCCACAGGAAAATGTGATAGAATAGAGGACCATCCCGATAAGGGAATAAGAAACAAACATTTTCACTTCAAAAGGACCTGAGGAGGCTACATGAAAAAACAGTAATGTCTCTTTGATACTGCACTTTATGGGTTTTTTCCATCCCTTTTTTAGGACAAGGGCACTCATCTCTGGCAGGATCTCCTTGGAAACACTTGTAGGAAGCCATTCCCTCCCCAGTACACAGTGCACATCTATGCTGGCAGGCTCATCCTGTGGTCCTCTGGTTTATTTTCCTTTCTATTCCCACTTTTAGCAATTTTGCATGGCAAGATAGAAACATCTTTTCCCTGTAACAACGTTGGGCTGAACCTCTGTGACCAAGAGGGCTCCAGGAGAGTCCATTAGCCTGGTGGGTGTGATACAATTGAAATTTGCCTTCAAGCAAAAACCTGATGAGTCCCTGTCCTGGGCCAGAAGCAGAAGACCTGATGCCCTCCCTATAACCCATCTCTTGGGTCTGGCTGTTCCCACTGCTCTCAGTTTCCCCTTCCATCCATGAGCAACCTCCCCATGGAGAGCCTCCGTGAGGTGCTGGCAATAAGACCTTGGGAAAACATACTTTGGGAACATGCCTCAGTTTCCCCAGCTGCCCCTTCCCTGGCCTCATCAGTGTAAAGCCTGTATCAGAGACACCCTTTGGTGTGCTCTTGACCTCTTAAAGAGGTTTAAATGTAATAAAGCTGCACTACAACATCATTGGCATGAGGGAGCACCCACATAAATCAGTGTTTACTCCCTCACCTTCCCAAGAGCAGATTTTTTTCTTGGCACGGCCATTCCCACTGTGGGAGCGATGAGGCTGCAGCAGTGAGCAAGCCCTTGCCCAGGGGACAGTTTGTGTTCTAAAACTGAGTTGCCAAATATCCCAAGCCTCAGTTCAGCCTTGTTTACTTCTGCTCCTGCAGCAGCTGAGCTTCACTCAGCAGTTGTGCAGCTTGGTGGGTAGTGAGATTCAGACGTTAGTTCTGCCTGTCTGAAGGAGCCCCTGGGGATCGCTGTGTCCTTCTGTAATTAGGGTGAGTATTAGGAACAGTTCTTCTCTGCTAAAAATCACGAGGGACTTCCAAGGCTGGATCCTCTTGCACATGCCTGTGCTATCTGTTTGATTTTAAATCACGCTGTGAGTCAGTGGCTGCGTTTTTCATATGCTGTGGCTCAGCATAAAGGGGTTAGTTTAACTCTCAAACAATTGGCTGTACTTGGAAAACGCCCTTGCCACACGACACACGCTGTTGGCCCCTGTGTTTCTGTAATTTATGCTTTGCTAATATGCCTACAGTGCTGAGCTCATGGTATGCAGACCCAGAGGGGTGGGCTTTCCCAAACTGAACTTCTGGGCTGACCCAAGGCTGCAGGATGAAGTTAAAGATCAGGCACTCAGCGCTTACCTCTCAGGCAGTCAGCTCAGGCTTTCCTTGTTTGCTCCCAAGCTCCCAGGAAGAGCTGCACTGGGAACTGCTGCTCTTAAAGGTCCAGGCTGCTTTTACAGCCTGTCAGGGACAGTGTTATCCTCTGGCAGAGCAGAAAAAGAGGTGAGAGAGTTTCTTCTTTTATAATAGTTTATATTCAAATTGGTTTATTGGTTTGTTGGTATTGGCGTACATGTAGAAAGCCCTGTCATGACAGAGAGCCTGGAAATGATCCAGTCCCCAAACTGCTTTCAATATTGAGTAGATTTTAACCTTCCACATTACTGAATGGGAACTGAAGCCCTGCAGAAGTACAAAGGAAAAAAGCAGTATGGGTATCATGACCAACTTTTGTAAGTGGTTATAACCTATAAAACCATCCCTGACCCTGCAGGTCACCCAGGGGCTTCAGTCCATGGGGCACCTTGATGGGTGCTAAAGCAGCAAAGAAACAGTACAAATTCTGATACAGATTTTATAGTGTTGACAGTCATGTGGTCCGGATTCCTGTAGGAAGTGACTTGTGATGGAGAGTTATCCAAGGCAAGAAGTCAGTGTTTCACTGATGGGAATGGCAGCTGTTGAATTAATCACACACGTTCCTCCTGGCTGATACCAGCCCTCCCCAAAGCAACAAGATTGGATTTGCCAAGTTGTGTAGCTGTTTAAATCCCTTTGGGTCCAAAAAGAAGCCCTGTTCTCCAGCAGCAAGGACGCTGCTCCCAGAGAACTCTGTGCTCCCTGAGCCTGCTGTGCCTTTAAGGATTCGCCTCCAAAGTTAGTGACAAGGAAAAAACAACCAATGAGCCTCTTTTTTTTTTTTTTTTTTTTTTTATTTTCCTTCCAACAGCGAGTTTCATTTGGTTGCTCAGCAATAAAATCTGCCTCTGTGGGTGTGCTGAGCAGCGGCCAGGAGTGCTGAGCTGTGCCATGGAGGGGCAGCAGCCCTGGCAGGGGCCAGGGCACACAGTCCAGGAGATGTGTCAGCAGAAAGAAAAGTGGTGTTCCCTGTTATTGGCCTTCACATGCTGAATCTCTGGGGCAATGGGTGTAATGCCCTACTCTGATCTTAAAGGTCTATGGTTTTATGGTTCTGTGCTCCTTGCCCTGAGCCTGTGGAACAGTACAAAGTGCAAGAAGCACCCAGGGCACAGAGAGAGGAGCGGGCACAGCCCCTTCTAGGTGTTCCCAATATCTGTTCCCACAAAGGACGGAGCTTCTTGGATCTGCCTGGATCTTCTCCTGCCCCACAACTTTGCAAGACCTGCTTGGGGTTTTGCCTTCATCCCAGTGCTTTGCCCCAGCTGCCAGGCTGCTACAAGGACAAACCTACTGAGTTTAGCTCCTTTAGCTCTTCCACTCTTGTGGGGACCACAGAAAGGCACAGACCACAAACAGGCCATATCCTGGGACAATTTCTTCTGATCATCTGTGTTGTGAGCTGCTGGTCCACACCATAAGAAGCCCCTTTTTCCCTGCAATCCACTACAGGATGGCATTAACATTTCATTTCCCTGGGGGGTGGGAGAGCCTCATGTGTTATAAAGGACTATTGCACACTCACAGCCAAGCACATACAGATGAGTTTGACTCTGGGGAGACAGGGATTTGGGGAGCTCACTGTGTCTCTGTGAAGTACACTTTGAACATGCAGAATAGCAGCAGCTTTTATTCCCCATAAATTGCTAGTTATAGAAAGCTGCATGTACTGCATACCAAGTAAAAAAAAGGTTTGGTGAGTTATTGTGTTTTTAAAAGCCTTAGCTGCAAAATATTAACACATAAAAATAATCAGGACAACTGCAGTGATTAATGACATTTTCTACTTTGGGAATACACGCTGTAATTTGGGGGGGAGAAATGTCTGAATAATTCTACCACACAATGTTTGATTTTTTTTTATTATTATTTAACTGTAAATCACTTATATAATTTACTAAATTATAAGTGCATGGTTGTAATGCTTCCAAGATTTGTACATGAAGGAACATCAAGTATCTTCTCAAAGGGCGAAGTGATCACATTTGAGTAATTTCTCCTACTAGAAATCTTAGCCTTTAGGTATGTGATTAAGATTCATCGTTTCTCCTTATATCAATATAATTTGTATCACTGCTAACACATCCTCAGTAGAACAGATATGTTTCAGAAAAATAATTCAGTGCCTGTTTTGGGATTCAGCCATAATAATTAATGTGCAGTAACACTCAGAGTGACAGTGGGAACCTGGATTCCCAGCAGTCTGCTGCTGGCTGGTAGCAAACAAAATGCTCAGGAACTGCTTCCAGTTCAAAGAAATACTGCTTTTTGGTTATGTCACCAAGAGGACAGGAGTCATGTAAAGAATTGTCACTAATATTTCTTATCATCTGTTTTAGGGCCATAAATAACCTGTCCTTAAGTACACAGCACAGGTGTGACACCCTCTGACTGCCACGTGAGAGGGTGTTGTGGATGCAGGAGCAAAAAGGACAGGCTTGTGGAGCAAACTCAGCACAGGATGTCTTTGTTTTTCTGGCTATTAAATTCCCAAAGTAATACAGTGTTCATTTAAGAGGTGGATATGATTTTCCCCAGGTGGCAGCACCAGGTAATAAAGAGAGAGACATACAGTTCCATCGTTCTGCCCAGCTACTCCTGGGTGTGTTTAGAGAAGCTTTTAAGAGATGAAAGGAGTAGGGAATGGGCAGAGTGTGCTTCCTGCTAAGCACAAACAGAGGACAGTGATTTAATTGAGCTAGGAAGGAATTATTTGTATCCAAAGCAAAAAGAGATGTAGGAATAGTTGTGAAAATCCATTTCTTTTGGAGATTCGTGTTAGTGTGTTCTGCCTTACACTGGTGTAGATGGAAGGGAAAAGTTTAACCTTTAGATGCTTGTCAGAAAGAGGGGGAGGAATTGCCTGTAATGCCCCTGGATTGAATTATAATTCAGGCAGTGAGTTAGAACAGAGACCTTTTTGAATTGACAGGTACAAATTTCTTGTCTAGTGTTACATTGAATTTCTCTTTCAGCGTTTTCTCTATTTCTTCATCTGCAAGCATTCTGATTTCCACAAGATCCATATTGTCCCTATAATTGAACTTCATCTCAGTGAGTCTCCACCCCACCAGTGCCCGGACGCCGTCGGCAGTCTGCAGGCTGCACAGGGACTTGGTCGTGAAGGGCGAGTCGGGCGCTGTCTGCAGGAGGGCATTGCAGCCTCTGAACTCTTCAATGTCTCGTGGCTGAAGGGTAAAGATGTAAATCGGGCGGCAAACTTCATCTTCCACTTTATGGGAAGTGGAGGTATCTTGGTTGAGAACCAACTGCTTCCTTTTCACCTTCTCAAAGTACCAGATCCCGCCCTCCTCCCGGAAGCGAAAGACCCCGGGAGTCTGCGGCTGATCTGCCCCTGAAATCAGCTCCATTGGCTGCCACATCTGGTAGGCTATCCCAAACCCCCCGTCCACAATGTAGGATTTGCCATCAAGCACCACTTTCATCAGCAGATGATTGATTTCCTCTGGGTAGGCGTTGCGCTCCGGGACGTAAACGTTGGCTCCCAGAAGGGTGATGTCATAGCCAAGAGTTTTCAGGACCCAAGACAAAAGGCTGTTGTTTTCCATGCACCAACCCCCACGTTTTTTCCTCACTATCTTGTTGTAGGTTGCTTCCAGGTCCAGCTCAATCCTTTCCCCACAGTGGATGCTGAGGTTTTCAAAAGGGACAGCTCGGATGTGGTGCTGGAATATATCTGACAGAGTAGGCAGGTCTGGCTTATTGTAGGAACCCCGGTAAGAAATTCTGGCAAAATACTCCTTGATGTCCATTCTGCCTCTGAGAGAAGGGTGGGAAAAAATAATAGGTTGTGTCAGAAGTGATGGAAGGCTCTGCCCATCCCTTTCAATGGGGCGCTCGGAAGAGGAGCGGGATTTGACTAACGTCTGTCTCAAAGGCAGCTGAGTATTAGCACTGAGAGAAGCCAATGGGACGCTGCTGATGAGCACAAATGTTATTTTTATTTGCTTCTTTTACAACTGTGATGAGAGGCTCCAGCTGTGCTAAGCACATTTCAGCAGAGTTCCTGCCCAGCAAAGCTACAAATCTCGGTAGGAAGGAACAAAAGCAGTAGCGGAGATGTTTCCCTGCTAGAAATGATAGGAACTGAGACTCTGCAGGTCTGAACTGCTTTGCTCATGCTTTGACTCATCGAAGCAGAAGCAGAAAACATACCCTCCCACTCTTGCAGAGCAATCCAGAGCCTCCTCTGCAACCAAATATGAAACAAATCTGTCCTGCTGTGGTATTTCTTCATTATTTAGGCAGCCTGGCACGAGCTGGTCTCACCTGCTCCTGCTCTCTGTGCCTGCAGTAGCAGATGTGACCTGAAGTGCAAAAGGTTCCTCTAGGGCAGAAAAGGCTGTGGGAGCTTTTTTGCTGCATCTGCTGTGAGCTGCCTCCCCCCAGCACAGCTCAGCTGCCCAGCTCTGCTAATCGCAGCCCCGTGCCACCAGCAGGAGGAATCCAAGGTTTGGGCCAAAACTACAATTTTCAGGAGGGTCTTGGATTTTCTGGCATCATTTTTTTGGGATGCATATGCTTCTTCTCCTCATGGTCACCCCAGCAGTGGGTGTCTGCCCATGTGTAGGGGAGCAGGCATTGCCCTGGGATGGCAGAGGGCTCATTGTGAGACTGTTTCACAAATACGGGGGTGGGAAGCAGCTCAAGCCCTCCCAGCCCTTAATGGAAGGAATGGACCTTTGATGGAGCCAAGTACTTTTGTTATTCCTCCCCAGGCACTGCTAAAATTCAGGCATCTGTAAGTATAGGGTGATGTTGTTCGGATTGCTGGTCCAAGAGGTCCCAAAATGTTCTCAAGTTCCTGTGTAGAACTCTCAAAGTACAACCATAAAATAAACTCCAACAGTTCCAACAGGATTATATTCTCAATCTGATGAAAAATGGCACAGCCAAAATTGTGTGGGAATTTTGGAAAGATACTTTCAGTACACAAACAAAGCAATGAAAATGAATAATCCCCATTTGGCATAATATCCTGGTAGAAGCAGAGAGTGCCTTGCTTTGGCTCCCCTCCTGTCCTAACCTTTAAGGTAGAAGCCTTACAGAACTCAACTCTTGCATCATGGCCACTCCCACGTTTCAACATCCTACAAGCAGACCTGAGTGATCCACTCTGGGGTTAAGAGCATCAAATTTAGGGGACTCTCTTTGTTCAGCTTTTCCCTCTTCCCAAGATTTTCCCCAAAGCCCCGGAACTACAACTCTATTCACTTCTGAAAACTTGGCATAAGCTTAGTTTTTGCTGTGCGAATTTTAAACCAGCATCACCAGCAAGGAGCTGGTTTTCCCTTTCTTTCTCCCCTCCTTTCCTTTTATCATAGCAGGCAGAACATGTGTAAGCAACTTTTACTTACAGGGAAAACGCTGGTGTGGGTTTTGTCTGTCTGTCTGTCCGTCTCTTGCGGGTGTTTATAAGGCTGTTTTAACTGAAATAAGGCAGATGGCACAAATTCCTGACTTGCTTCAGGCAAACAACTGAGTAAATAAAGCAGTGTATCTGCGACACTGAGCAGCTGAGTTCTCCCTGCTCTGCCCTTACGCCATTTCCGCTGTTTTTTATCTCCAGCCAGACTTAACTTCCTGGTTAGACAGCGCTCAGCTACCAAGATCCGGAGGTTAAAAGAAAGGCTTACCTGCAAAATCAGTTCAAGCACCAGGATACCTCCAGGATTTGAGGGGAGGTGGTTCTAGGCTAAAGCAAGTGGCGTGGCTGGCTGTCCTCTACCTAGCACAGGCAGGGCTAGGACTGCTCTCCAGCTGCTCCTCAGGGGAATGTCTTTTCCCTGAACTTCCTTTCACCCGCCTCTATCAGATTGCAAAGCGGGGGGAAAATAAAAAAACAACAAACAATGAAACAACCTCAAAGGGTGGAGCGTGAGAGCTGGAGTGAGCCAGCAAAGCCAACAGCAGTGGCTCGACACACGTGCATACCTGGCTGTTAGAGCAGAGGCTGCTTCACATTTTCACTTGTTTCCTGCTCTCTGCAAGGGCCAGCTCAGGCTGTCACCAGAAGGGTATGTTTTTGTTCCAGTAGCTTGCTGGATGCACTCAGGTGATACGGGTTTTTTTCTCCCAGCTGTTAGGTTATTATTTGTTTGGAAACGTGGGGAGTAAATCTTGCACACATTGTCTGAGAAGGATTTTCCACTGTTTCTGAAAATCAGCAAGATTTCAGCACAGTAACTTGCACCTGCAACCCCCTTGCCCCAGCCAGCAGCATGAGAACTTCAGCCCTGCCTCTGCTTCGTTTGCTCTCTGTGATTTACATGCATTTTTTAATTACTATAAATTTCGTAGAATATAAGGAAGCGCTGTCACAACAGTGTCTCTTCTTTTGTCTTTGCCCACGGGTATCACCTGTGGATGCCATGGTGGTGAAAATGTTCTTGGCAAAGTGATGGCTGTGAAGTGCTAACACATAGGGAGATCCACCCTTTCACCACGTTATATTCACCATGTTGATTTTGCACTTACCAATTTTGCTTGCATTTTGCCAAGACAAACCTTATTCATTCTCTGACATATACAGCTGGATTTTTTCCTGTTAACTCTCCAAAACTCATTCCAGTCCTTCCCATTTAGTATCAATGGCAAGTTTCATTCAAACCCTGATTTACTGGGATAATTAGCAGAGATAATAAATCAGATGAAGCAGACACAATAAATCAGATGAAACAGAGAGATCTGTGGTAACCCATTACACAGCTCCACTCCCATATCAAAATTTGGCTCTTTATTATCCCATCAGTGGCCAGTGTTTGGTCCCCAGGCCATTAAAGCCACGAGCTCTCCCCCTCCCCAGGCGTGCCTGAGGCTGTCACAGGGCAAAGCTCAGTCGGTGAGTGCTGAAGGTGAGGAAAGGCTGGTCTTGATCCCAAAGCCCTGCTGGAGTCTGTTTACCTTTCAGCCCCGTGCCAGATCACCAGGGCTAATTCCAGGAGTGCTGGGGTGATAAACAGCAATCACAGCTGGGGGTAATGGCCATGACCTCGCCTGCACCCGTCCCCAAGAGCCACAAAGGGCAAAGCCCAGCTTAGGCCAGCTGGGTTGTGGAGAACACGACCACAGAGGGAATGTGCAAGTGGGAATGTCCTTGGAAAGGACAGTGCTGTCCACCTGGACACTGAAATGCCATTTCCCTTGGCAGGAGCTGAAGCTGGCTGAGCCTTTTCTAGAAGATCCTCAATGTAATTGCACTCAATTTTATTTATTTATAAATTTAAACTGCTGACAGCATTTAATTTATTACTGAAATCCTCCTCTCATCCCAACTCTCAGGAGAGGCCTCATCAAATATCCCTCCCTCCCTGCTTTAATGGAGTATTATATGCTGCAATATTTGCCTGGGGAAATAAAAGCATTAGGTACTCTGTTTGGGGTAAAAGTTGAGGGTCTACTCTGGTCATCTCTCTGGCACACTGTATAACAAAGCAAGGTAGTATTAGATTATATCATATTATAACCAGAATTCTTAATATACAAACTACCTGGTATGCCACTTAACTATCTGGTTTTGATGGGAAGATAAAAAGAGAGACTTCTAAAGTAATAAAGCAGTTGAGGTGTTTTAAATGGAATTAGTATGAAATCTTAAACTCAAACACAAGGTCAGATCCTACTGAGCTCCTGGAAAGGGAAACACTGCACACCCTGAGCCGAGTGGTTGACTCTTGCCTTTCATTTCCAAAGGGAATTTAATAGAAGCAGGCTGCCCTAGCTATGTAAGGCATCTTTCTGAGGGTTGGTGGGTGTCTAAAGTTATCTCCTCTGCTTATTTTGCCCTGCTAATATGAGGTTTTTCAGACAAGCCGAATCTGAGGCTGTTAGTGAAGAGCAAGGAGACCACGTTGGTCTGCAGGTCCTTCCCTCCCTGAGGGCTTCAGCATAAATCTCGTGCACGTAAATGGTCGTAATTCAGTTAAATTCCATTACAAGGGGAACAATCTGCTTTTCTGCATGAATGGCTTTATTTCCTATAAGTTTTGAAAGAAAAATAGAACATTTTAAGTAAGTGCTTTGGTGAAAAGCATCTGCCTGTTAGGAAGAAGGAGAATTTGCTTCCATTTCATAAGAAATAGTCAAACACTCAACGTGCCCTTCCTTGTTTCCATCTCGTGGGCCTCTTCTCCTGGAGATGCCAGCAGTGTTGTCAGACCATGGAAATGCTGAGGAGAAAGTTCTGAAGGTTGCAAAGGAAAGTCGAGCTGGTTTTTCTGAACGTGCTGGTGGCTGGGTCTGTGAGAGCTGGCGAGCAGCTGGGGAGGCTCCAAGCCATGATAGAAATGGCTTTACTGGCATTTGGAGACAAAGTGTTGGAGAGCACTGATTGCAGGGCAGTGCATTGTCCTGTGAGGGGAAAAAAGGCCTCATTTGAAATGAAGATATTATGTTGGTCTAGTCCGAAAGTCAACATAAGTCATCCTGTTACAGTTAATTAGCTGATCATCTGCAAAAATCCTGTACATAAAACAGCCTGTGACCTGAGCACACTTAATTCCACCCATTTAGGTACAAGCTGCCAAAAAAAGAGGGTTTGCAAGTCACCAGTATTGTTGCAAGATATTTTAAGAGGGAAATATTCCCTAATATTGAAAAGATGCAACGACCAAAGGAAGAGTTATAGGTGTATGAGTACAAGGGGGTGATGAGCATTCACTCAGCTTCTGAAATTCCTTTGGTGATCTATATATATATACACACTATATATATATATATATGCACTATATATATATACACTATATATACTATATAAAATATATAGTAAATATATAAAAAAAATATAAAAATATAAATATATAAATATATAAATATATTAGATTTATATTATATATTATATAATACATTATATTATATATGTTTTATATTATATATTATATTTATAATTATATTAGATATTATAAATATATATAAATATTTATAAATTTATATATTTATAAGCTCTAAAAAAATTAAATCTTTGTACATGTGCTTAAAAGCAGCAACAGTCACCATTTATGAGCAGTGAAACTACCAAACCCCTTCCTCAGCAGGGTTAAATTGAACTCATTCCACCATAGCCACACAGTAATGCTGCGTCCACCCTCCTGGCTTTGAGCCTGCTCCTCCAGAGAGCTCCTCTAACACCAAACTGCTGTTTCAGTGCAAAGACTCTCGTGGACTCCAGTGGGAATTTGGATCAGTCATAATTCAAGCAATCAGCCTGGAAGCATGCAAAGCAGGAACAATTATACGAGTTCTGTCATTCCCATTACCCAGATTTTATTTATATTTCTTTTTTTGGAGATAGGTGGGAGGGAAACCTTTTATCTCAGTGAAGAGTAGGAAACAGAATGTTACAGCGACAGCAAAGGGAAAAAAAGCACCTGTGCCTTTGGAAAACACATTTTCATTACAATGCACTAACATGCATCACAGAAATAATATATGTTTGTGATGGCAATTTACTGCTGCCACTCCACTGCTGAATTTGGAGTGCAACTGGGGGAAAGAAAGAAGAGATGCTCTGGATTCAAAATGCTCCCCCAGACTTACCTTTACTGGGATTTTATTGGCTTTCCTCCCTGCAATGTGCTCATGGGGGACACAGGTGTGACTTCCAAGTTGCACTACAGGAACTCTTTTTTTGCCCTGTTTAGGAGCTCCTGTTTAGCAGGTGATATTTTAGCTCTATATCCACACATATTTAGAACATGTTTCCTAGAGAATTAACTTGATTTCCACGTAAAATAATTACACTAGGCAGTTACAAATGGCTTTGTAACTTTTTAAAATTAAATTATGGTTATTTTGCAAACCAGCACTTTGTAGTGGAGGATGATATCTGGTCCTGGTGGGTCCACTGAATTGCCAAGGCATTGCAGGCTGGGTGTTCCCATGCTCCATGGATGCACACAATGACACTTCTTTGCCCTCTTTAATCAGTTCAAATCTTCAGCTGCAGCAGGCAGTTATTTTGGAGCTGCCACACCTAACAAATACTTATTTGCACAAAGTTATGCATTTCCTCCTCCTGCAAAGCATTGCAGTGCTCCTTATTTAATTCTCTCCCTGCCAAGCACGTCCCCCCTTTATTTGATGGGGGTGGAATGTCAGAGCAAGTCCTTTTTGGGAAGGCAAAGAGCACATTAGGCTGCATCTGGGAAAGCACCTGAATTTTAGGCACATCAGGTGCTCTGTGGCTCTTGTGTGGTCGTCTTTTCCTTGGGTGAAGACTGATGCTCTTCGTGGCACGTCCTGTACAGTACCTGCCCCCAGGTATCATAAGGCAAAAAGCTTTTGTGTTATGGAAATTATGCTGTGAAACCACACTGGTACAAGTTTGTTCTCCAGCACTATATTGAATTTATCTTTCAGTGTCTTCTCAAGCTCTTCGTCTGTAAGAGTTGTGATGTGCACCAGGTCCGTGTCCTCTGTGTAGTTATACTTCACCTCAGTCAAGGTCCATCCCACTAAGGCAATGAGCCCTTCCATGGTCTGGAGACTGCAGATTGACTTCTTCCGAAGTATGTTATCTGGAGACACTTGTAGGTACGTGTTTAACTCCTGAAAGTCATTTATGTGTCGTGGCTCAAGAGTGAATCTGTATATTTTTCTGATGTCCCCCACTCCTGGAGTGTCAGTGAAGTGAGGAGTCTCACTTTGCTCAGGAATGTAATGCTTCCTTTTGACTTTCTCGAAGTACCAGGTGCCATTGTCTTCCGTGAAGCGGAAGATTCCAGGGACCTGGGCTTGATCCTTCCCAGAAATCAGCCTCAGTGGCTCCCACATCTGGTAGGCACCACCAAAACCAGCACCCACTATGTAGGAATTTCCCTGGATCACCACCTTCAGCAGGATATGGTTCATCTCAGCAGTGTATGCCCTCCCTGCTGGTTCATAACTATTCCCACTGAGAGTGCAGATGTCATACTCTAATTCTTTGCAACCACCAAAATAAGAGGTGGTTGATTTCCAGGCACCATCCACCACGTTTCTTTCGCACAATCTTATCATAAGTGGACTGCAAATCCAGTTCGATGCTCTCCCTGCAATGCATGCTGAGGTTCTCAAAAGGAATTGCCCGGATGTGATGCTGGAAGATGGCTGTTAAGGTTTGCAAGTCTGCATCCGTATGGGGCTTGTTGTAAGATATTCTTCCGAAATACTCTTGGATGTTCATTTTGCCTGTGTGAGCAGAAGAACAGCCAGTTACTGCTGTGCAGATGTCTTGGCTCTGCCTGGATCTTCTCCTGCCCCACAACTTTGCAAGACCTGCTTGGGGTTTTGCCTTCATCCCAGTGCTTTGCCCCAGCTGCCAGGCTGCTACAAGGACAAACCTACTGAGTTTAGCTCCTTTAGCTCTTCCACTCTTGTGGGGACCACAGAAAGGCACAGACCACAAACAGGCCATATCCTGGGACAATTTCTTCTGATCATCTGTGTTGTGAGCTGCTGGTCCACACCATAAGAAACCCCCTTTTCCCCTGCAATCCACTACAGGATGGCATTAATGTTTCATTTCACTGTGGAGTGGGAGAGCCTCATGTGCTATAAAGGACTATTGCACACTCACAGCCAAGCACATATGGATGAGTTTGACTCTGGGGAGACAGGGATTTGGGGAGCTCACTGTGTCTCCGTGAAGCACACTTTGAACATGCAGAATAGCAGCAGCTTTTATCCCCCATCAATTGCTAGTTATAGAAAGCTGCATGTACTGCATACCAAGTAAAAAAAAGGTTCGGTGAGTTATTGTGTTTTTAAAAGCCTTAGCTGCAAAATATTAACACATAAAAATAATCAGGACAACTGCAGTGATTAATGACATTTTCTACTTTGGGAATACACGCTGTAATTTGGGGGGGGGGAAATAATTCTACCACACAATGCTTGATATTTTTTTTTATTATTATTTAACTGTAAATCACTTACATAATTTACTAAATTATAAGTGCATGGTTGTAATGCTTCCAAGATTTGTACATGAAGGAACATCAAGTATCTTCTCAAAGGGCAAAGTGATCACGTTTGAGTAATTTCTCCTACTAGAAATCTTAGCCTTTAGGTACGTGATTAAGATTCATCGTTTCTCCTTATATCAATATAATTTGTATCACTGCTAACACATCCTCAGTAGAACAGATATGTTTCAGAAAAATAATTCAGTGCCTGTTTTGGGATTCAGCCATAATAATTAATGTGCAGTAACACTCAGAGTGACAGTGAGAACCTGGATTCCCAGCAGTCTGCTGCTGGCTGGTAGCAAACAAAATGCTCAGGAACTGCTTTCAGTTCAAAGAAATACTGCTTTTTGGTTATGTCACCAAGAGGACAGGAGTCATGTAAAGAATTGTCACTAATATTTCTTATCATCTGTTTTAGGGCCATAAATAACCTGTCCTTAAGTACTCTCACAGTGCAGCACAGGTGTGACACCCTCTGACTGCCACGTGAGACGGTGTTGTGGATGCAGGAGCAAAAAGGACAGGCTTGTGGAGCAAACTCAGCACAGGATGTCTTTGTTTTTCTGGCTATTAAATTCCCAAAGTAATACAGTGTTCATTTAAGAGGTGGATATGATTTTCCCCAGGTGGCAGCACCAGGTAATAAAGAGAGAGACATACAGTTCCATCGTTCTGCCCAGCTACTCTGGGTGTGTTTAGAGAAGCTTTTAAGAGATGAAAGGAGTAGGGAATGGGCAGAGTGTGCTTCCTGCTAAGAACAAACAGAGGACAGTGATTTGATTGAGCTAGGAAGGAATTATTTGTATCCAAAGCAAAAAGAGATGTAGGAATAGTTGTGAAAATCCATTTCTTTTGGAGATTCGTGTTAGTGTGTTCTGCCTTACACTGGTGTAGATGGAAGGGAAAAGCTTAACCTTTAGATGCTTGTCAGAAAGAGGGAGGGAATTGCCTGTAATGCCCCTGGATTGAATTATAATTCAGGCAGTGAGTTAGAACAGAGACCACCTGCTTTAATTGACGGGTACAAATTTCTTGTCTAGCGTTATATTGAATTTCTCTTTCAGCGTTTTCTCTATTTCTTCATCTGCAAGCATTCTGATTTCCACAAGATCCATATTGTCCCTATAATTGAACTTCGTCTCAGTGAGTTTCCACCCCACCAGTGCCCGGACGCCGTCGGCAGTCTGCAGGCTGCAAAAGGACTTGGTCATGAAGGGTGAGTCGGGCGCTGTCTGCAGGAGGGCATTGCAGCCTCTGAACTCTTCAATGTCTCGTGGCTGAAGGGTAAAGAGGTAAATGGGGCGGCAAACTTCATCTTCCACTTTATGGGAAGTGGAGGCATCTTGGTTGGGAATCAACTGCTTCCTTTTCAACTTTTCGAGGTACCAGGTTCCGCCCTCCTCCCGGAAGCGAAAGACCCCGGGAGTCTGCGGCTGATCTGCCCCTGAAATCAGCTCCATTGGCTGCCACATCTGGTAGGCCATCCCAAACCCCCCATCCACAATGTAGGATTTGCCATCAAGCACCACTTTCATCAGCAGATGATCGATTTCCTCTGGGTAGGCGTCGCGCTCCGGGACGTAAACGTTGGCTCCCAGAAGGGTGATGTCATAGCCAAGAGTTTTCAGGACCCAAGACAAAAGGCTGTTGTTTTCCATGCACCAACCTCCACGTTTCTTCCTCACTATCTTGTTGTAGGTTGCTTCCAGGTCCAGCTCAATCCTTTCCCCACAGTGGATGCTGAGGTTTTCAAAAGGGACAGCTCGGATGTGGTGCTGGAATATATCTGACAGAGTAGGCAGGTCTGGCTTATTGTAGGAACCCCGGTAAGAAATTCTGGCAAAATACTCCTTGATGTCCATTCTGCCTCTGAGAGAAGGGTGGGAAAAAAATAATAGGTTGTGTCAGAAGTGATGGAAGGCTCTGCCCATCCCTTTCAATGGGGCGCTCGGAAGAGGAGGCAGCTGAGTATTAGCGCTGAGAGAAGCCAATGGGACGCTGCTGATGAGCACAAATGTTATTTTTATTTGCTTCTTTTACAGCTGTGATGAGAGGCTCCAGCTGTGCAATGGAGCAATGTTGTTCAGATTGCTGACCCAGGAGGTCCCAAAATGTTCTCAGGTTCCTGTGTACAACTCTCAAAGTACAATCATAAGATAAACTCCAACAGTTCCAACAGGATTATATTCTCAATCTGATGAAAAATGGCACAGCCAAAATTGTGTAGGAATTTTGGAAAGATACTTTCAGTACATAAACAAAACAATGAAAATTAATAATCCCCATTTGGCATAATATCCTGGTAGAAGCAGAGGGTGCCTTGCTTTGGCTCCCCTCATGTCCTAACCTTTAAGGTAGAAGCCTTACAGAACTCAACTCTTGCATCATGGCCACTCCCACGTTTCAACATCCTACAAGCAGACCTGAGTGATCCACTCTGGGGTTAAGAGCATCAAATTTAGGGGACTCTCTTTGTTCAGCTTTTCCCTCTTCCCAAGATTTTCCCCAAAGCCCCGGAACTACAACTCTATTCACTACTGAAAACTTGGCATAAGCTTAGTTTTTGCTGTGTGAATTTTAAACCAGCATCACCAGCAAGGAACTGGTTTTCCCTTTCTTTCTCCCCTCCTTTCCTTTTATCATAGCAGGCAGAACATGTGTAAGCAACTTTTACTTACAGGGAAAACGTTGGTGGGGGTTTTGTCTGTCTGTCTGTCCGTCTCTTGCGGGTGTTTATAAGGCTGTTTTAACTGAAATAAGGCAGATGGCACAAATTCCTGACTTGCTTCAGGCAAACAACTGAGTAAATAAAGCAGTGTATCTACGACACTGAGCAGCTGAGCTCTCCCTGTTCTGCCCTTACACAATTTCTGCTGTGTTTTGTCTCCAGCCAGACTTAACTTCCTGGTTAGACAGCGCTCAGCTACCAAGATCCGGAGGTTAAAAGAAAGGCTTACCTGCAAAATCAGTTCAAGCACCAGGATACCTCCAGGATTTGGGGGGAGGTGGTTCTAGGCTAAAGCAAGTGGCGTGGCTGGCTGTCCTCTACCTAGCACAGGCAGGGCTAGGACTGCTCTCCAGCTGCTCCTCAGGGGAATGTCTTTTCCCTGAACTTCCTTTCACCCGCCTCTATCAGATTGTAAAAGCTGGGGGGAAAAAAAAAAGAAAAGCAAACAACAAACGAAACAACCTCAAAGGGTGGAGCGTGAGAGCTGGAGTGAGCCAGCAAAGCCAACAGCAGTGGCTCGACACACGTGCATACCTGGCTGTTAGAGCAGAGGCTGCTTCACATTTTCCCTTGTTTCCTGCTCTCTGCAAGGGCCAGCTCAGGCTGTCACCAGAAGGGTATGTTTTTGTTCCAGTAGCTTGCTGGATGCACTCAGGTGATACGGGTTTTTTTTTTCTCCCAGCTGTTAGGTTATTATTTGTTTGGAAACGTGGGGAGTAAATCTTGCACACATTGTCTGAGAAGGATTTTCCACTGTTTCTGAAAATCAGCAAGATTTCAGCACAGTAACTTGCACCTGCAACCCCCTTGCCCCAGCCAGCAGCATGAGAACTTCAGCCCTGCCTCTGCTTCGTTTGCTCTCTGTGATTTACATGCATTTTTTCATTACTGTAAATTTCGTAGAATATAAGGAAGCGCTGTCACAACAGTGTCTCTTCTTTTGTCTTTGCCCACAAGTATCACCTGTGGATGCCATGGTGGTGAAAATGTTCTTGGCAAAGTGATGGCTGTGAAGTGCTAACACATAGGGAGATCCATCCTTTCACCACGTTACATGTTGATTTTGCACTTACCAATTTTGCTTGCATTTTACCAAGACAAACCTTATTCATTCTCTGACATATACAGCTGGATTTTTTCCTGTTAACTCTCGAAAACTCATTCCAGTCCTTCCCACTTAGTATCAATGGCAAGTTTCATTCAAACCCTGATTTACTGGGATAATTAGCAGAGATAATAAATCAGATGAAGCAGACACAATAAATCAGATGAAACTGAGAGATCTGTGGTAACCCATTACACAGCTCCACTCCCATATCAAAATTTGGCTCTTTATTATCCCATCAGTGGCCAGTGTTTGGTCCCCAGGCCATTAAAGCCACGAGCTCTCCCCCTCCCCAGGCGTGCCTGAGGCCGTCACAGGGCAAAGCTCAGTCGGTGAGTGCTGAAGGTGAGGAAAGGCTGGTCTTGATCCCAAAGCCCTGCTGGAGTCTGTTTGCCTTTCAGCCCCGTGCCGGATCACCAGGGCTAATTCCAGGAGTGCTGGGGTGATAAACAGCAATCACAGCTGGGGGTAATGGCCATGACCTTGCCTGCACCCGTCCCCAAGAGCCACAAAGGGCAAAGCCCAGCTTAGGTCGGCTGGGTTGTGGAGAACACGACCACAGAGGGAGAGCAGTGATTGCAGGGCAGTGCATTGTCCTGGGAGGGGAAAAAAAGGCCTCATTTGAAATAAAGATATTATGTTGGTCTAGTCCGAAAGTCAACCTAAGTCATCCTGTTACAGTTAATTAGCTGATCATCTGCAAAAGTCCTGTACATAAAACAGCCTGTGACCTGAGCACACTTAATTCCACCCATTTAGGTACGAGCTGCCAAACAAAGAGGGTTTGCAAGTCACCAGTCTCTGTCACTGTCAGGTCAGAAATGGCTGAGTATTCCAGCCTGAGCACCATAATTTTGCACCCAAAAAATATTGTTGCAAGATATTTTAAGTGGGAAATATTCCCTAATATTGAAAAGATGCAATGACCAAAGGAGAGTTATAGGTGTATGAGTACAAGGGGGTGATGAGCATTCACTCAGCTTCTGAAATTCCTTTGGGGATCTATATATATATATATATATATATATATATATATATACGCTATATATACACACACTATATATACTATATATACTATATATACTATATATTATATAAAAATATATAAATATATACATATATAAATATATAAGATTTATATTATGTTATATAATGCATTATATTATATACGTTATATATTATATATTATATTTATATTATATATTATAAATATCTATAAATATATATTTATAAATGTATATATTTATAAGCTCTAAAAAAATTAAATCTTTGTACATGTGCCTAAAAGCAGCAACAGTCACCATTTATGAGCAGTGAAACTACCAAACCCCTTCCTCAGCAGGGTTAAATTGTCCTCATTCCACCACAGCCACGCAGCAATGTTGCTTCCACTCTCCTGGCTTTGAGCCTGCTCCTCCAGAGAGCTCCTCTAACACCAAACTGCTGTTTCAGTGCAAAGACTCTCGTGGACTCCAGTGGGAATTTGGATCAGTCATAATTCAAGCAATCAGCCTGGAAGCATGCAAAGCAGGAACAATTATACAAGTTCTGTCATTCCCATTACTCAGATTTTTATTTCTTTTTTTGGAGATAGGTGGGAGGGAAACCTTTTATCTCAGTGAAGAGTAAGAGAACCTTACAGCGACAGCAAAGGGAAAAAAAGCAACTGTGCCTTTGGAAAACACATTTTCATTACAATGCACTAACATGCATCACAGAAATAATATATGTTTGTGATGGCAATTTACTGCTGCCACTCCACTGCTGAATTTGGAGTGCAACTGGGGGAAAGAAAGAAGAGATGCTCTGGATTCAAAATGCTCCCCCAGACTTACCTTTACTGGGATTTTATTGGCTTTCCTCCCTGCAATGTGCTCATGGGGGACACAGGTGTGACCTCCAAGTTGCACTACAGGAACTCCCCATATAAATACATTTTCCACATGTTTGTTTCCTGCCTCCCTGGTATGTCCACAGCTGGTATGTCCAGCTCAAATTAATGTGCACCAGGTATAGTGTATGGAAAAGAAGAGAGGTGGAGTATTCACACCTGGAGCAGTGAGGGAGCAAACGGAGCTGGGAGGAATCACCTGTGAATCAGCTGGCTGGCAGCCTGCACACTGCAGCAGCCAAGGAGGCAAGGAAGGAGGAATGCAGCCCCCCAGGGGTTTGGGAAGGACTGAAAGCTGGGAAGCAGATTTTAGATTAGGTCAGTGTGGGGATAGCAGAGTGGGGAAAGAAATTCAAGGTAAATTGTCAGAGCTGGTGGGATCTCAAACCACATCCACTTCTGCATCGCTTGGCTGGGAGCTGAGTGAACCTTATAAAACGAAAAAAATAATTTCAAGTTGCTGAATCTAATCATCTTCCATGAATCAAGCTATGCCAAAAAGCAGCCCTTGCCCAAAAAACAGCTCCACACCTGCTGTGCTGACTCACAAATTACTCACAATATTATTACTTTTTTTTCTAGCGAGGAGCAATTTGGTCCTGGATTGTATGAACTAGCAAATGGCCTTTGCTGGGAAATGATGAACCTGATTAAATTGACATCAACCTTGGGCATTTTCATCCCATGAGGTAAAAGACAAGTAATTTCCATGCAATGGAGATGGTACTTTCTTTTCCTCACCAAAGCATTGCAAATTGATGCTGCACCCAGGTCAGTGTTTCCTCACAGGCAGACGCTGAGGATGCTGTCATGCTGGAATATTGTCATTCCCCTTCCAAACCTTCATTTAATAGAAGTTGTAGCATGAAATTCTGGTCAAATAGTCCTTGAAAAGTAACCACCTGCTTTTTTTAAGCATCTGGAGACACAACTCTTCTGGCCCTCTATTTAAAATAAATAGACCTGTCATAGAGAAAAACCCACGGTTCAGCCACACACCGTGAAGTCCCTCTGAGACCAAACCCAACAGTAGATTTGTCAATTCACAGTGATGTTATTTTTAATTGCTTTCTCAGCAGTTGTGCTGGGAGCCCGGCTGCACCTCGTGTTCCAGCACAGCTCCTCCCAGCACAGATCACATCCCCCTGGGCCAGAGCAAATGGACTCAAACATGACACTTACAAATAGAGTGTTGTCACTGGGGCTGGAATCTGGGACCCTGAACACGGGATGGTGATGGAGGAAAGTGCCTTCAACTCAGGAAAGCTTTCTGCTAAAATACCAGAGCTGTGCAAACCCTTTGGGAAATTTTCCAGATGTAGCAGGACTCGGCAAAGCAGCTGCCATGTCCTTTTTCCTCACTTTCCAGCTTTCATGAGAGGCACCAGGTGCTCCCCAGCCCTGCAGGGAAGACAGGGTGAGCAGGTCTGTAAATTCTTCAAGTGAACCCTATTCCTTTCATCACCCATGAAAGCACTGAACAACCTCACCAAAGCAATCACCAGCCCCTCATCTTTCTTTTCCAGGTCCTTACTCAATTGGCAATTATTCTTCTAATTCCTGTCTGTGCCAGCATAGCTAATAATTTTCCAGACAGTGCTGTATCAAAATCTTTACTGAAATGCAGCACCTGAAGTCCCACTTCACGTTCCTTCCTTGTAGAAAGTCACGTACCTAATCACAGAAACCCAGCAGTTAATTTGGGCTACTATTTTTAACAATCTCCCATTCTGTGGTTATTGCTCACAACAGTCAGAGGCAGCCACAGCATCTGATGTGCCTGGATCTGTCCCTCCCCTTATGCATCTCTCCCAGGGAAATTCTCCAGTGGCACCTGAAATCAGACAGTGGGAATGTATATTCTGCTCTTAGCTAATAATTGAGAGACTAAACCTGCCTGGCTGCTGGGGACTCAAGGGAAGGGCTTGGAAATTGGCTGAGAGCTTCCCTCTCAACTTTTGTCAAAGCAGCTCCTGAATGTTTCATCATAGGAAAATTTGCCTGCATATTTATGTGGCCACAAAGATTCCCGGTTTAAATCTGCAAAATCAATTCACCAACTGCATGGGTTCTCTTCTCTCTGTTGTTACTCCAGCTAA